AGATAATAGAGAGATGCGGGGTTGAGAATTTTCTAACGTCCTTCGGAGCGTTTTTGGAATAAAGATCTTCTCTCTTACCTTGTTTACCGCCAGCGGGGGACCCCTCTTTCATCGGGGTAATTTTTTTTTTTTTGTGGTCCCCCGCGGGGGGGGAGTGTGGGGGGGGGGGGGGGGGGGTCCCCCCCCCCCCCCCCCCCCCCCGAGATGACCTGCGGTTTTATAATACAACTGGTATTCTGCAAAAAAAAAACTATGTGGTTTATTGGTGTTAAGTTGAGCAAGAGACGAGTGCACCCCCTCCTAAAAAAATCCTGGATCCGCCCCTGCCCAGAGCGTGAAAACAAAAGAAACCAACCCCACTAGACCGGGGTCCCCCACTCCACGTAAACAGGTCCTTAGACCCCACATAGACTAGACAACTCCAGTCTTGACTTGTCTATTTCACTCTTGTATTTTTGGTTGTTTTCGGCGCCAACAATTTTATGTCACGCGAAACCATTTTATTTCACGCAGCACTATTTGTTTCGTCGCACTTCCACTTCAGTCTCGATTAAATCATTCGACATTACATTGAACCATTTGCGTATGCATTAAACCATTTGTCCCTCAATTAAATCATTCGACATTACATTGAACCATTTGCGTATGCATTAAACCATTTGTCTCTCGATTCAATCATTCAACTTTACATTTAACAATTTGCTTATGCCTTAAACCATTTGTCTCTCGATTCAATCATTCAACTTTATATTGAACAATTTGCGTATGCCTTAAACTATTTGTCTCTCGATTCAATCATTCAACTTTACATTGAACAATTTGCGTATGCCTTAAACCATTTGTCTCTCGATTCAATCATTCGACTTTACATTGAACCATTTGCGTATGTCTTAAACCATTAAATGTTTGCGTGAATTCTTTCTTCACTCAGACCTGATTAGGCAACAGGGCGGGCGACCGTTCGTTATCAAGCTCGATCATTTCGCACATGGTATATTGATGGGTTATAATTTAAACAAACCGATTCTTGTTTGGCGGTATCGTTTTAACATCTACCAGTGAACAGCTTCTCATCTGACCAAATCGTTTGTAGTTTAGGCAAACCATTTCACACAAAACAACCAGACTATTTCTTTATTATTTGAACCATGTCGTAATTCATCACTAGACCATTTGCGTTTTGTCTGTGCTATTTGACATGATTCAGCTGATGATTGTATTTTTGGTGGTAACGGCCACCTATAAAAATGGCTGCAAGGGAGACTACAGAACAAGTACCATGCAGTTTGTGTACACTGCAGAATTATAGTCATCCTTAGGGAATTTATTTAAAATAAGTTATCTACTATCCGAAGTCTTTTCGCAGAGGAAACAAACAATACTTAATAGTAAAGGTTGCTATCAGATATTGTGATGAACATCTAAATGTACAACATATAAAAGGTTGATTTGCACGTTACGGTTCATCAGCTCGATTTTGTAAAAAAAAGATAAGCTAACGTCGAACACAAAAAGCGGCCCGATTTTTCATTTAGTGCTTATCTTTGGACGGAAAGATCGACCCAAGAAATCGTAACCTGTAAATTGGCTGCCTACGAAGAGTATCGTGAATTAAAAGCGGCTTTTGCAACTTGAATTTAGGGGCTGACTAATAACTTCGCAAAGGGGTGTGGTGGGGTTTTCGGTGTTAGTTTGGGCAAGAATTCATTTCCAAGCCGACTACTGTGATCAAACTTCATAATGATTATTTTTGTTGTAAAAATAATGCTTTAAGCTTGATGGAAAAGTTTTTTCTTTCATTTTGGGCCTGTTTGCAGGAGAGTTTTTTTTTTCTGCAATTACCCACCCCTCTTATAAACTGAGGTAAATGGAGAGTACTCCTAAGTTAAGTATCGATTTGGTTAAAGTGAGAAGCATCAATTTTAATATGACGTTTAAGTGATATTATAAAACAATTGGTTTTTCTCGCTGTGTCTAAAATGTTTGTTAATTTTTGTGATTTTAATTTTTTAGGTAAGAAATATCTGTCACGCTTTTGGTATAAAGGATGTACACTCTTCATTCGGCCAAGGCTGTTTTACTTATGCTTCTCCATGCTGTGCTGAGTTTTGGTGAACGCAGTCCCAAGGCTGTTATCCTCCATAAGTGTACCAAATCAGCCCCATGCAGTTATACATACGAGCAAGTCTACAACAGCTTAGCAAAGTCTGAAAACAGTTTTAATATTTCATCTGCCCTGTATCCTGGAAGGTCAAAGCCATCATCAGTCCGTGTGTTCGTCAATGTGTATGGTCCCAATAAAACAAAGGAATCGATACCAGCTAAATACACATGGAGTATGTCTTGCTTTTATTCTGCGGTCCCTGCTTTTGCCCTGGAAGTTTTGTCACTGGGTTCCATCCTTGTTAAACGTCGTACTCAAGAACTCAATTTACAAATTCCACTATTTTGTTGCAACATCTCTGACAACGAGGAACAAAGGAAACAACAAATTGGAAGCCGTCTGATAAGAGTGCTTGCTGAAGTAAGTTTAATATATATTCACTGTGATATCTTTTGTACATGTACATGTAGCTATCAAGTTCCTATCAGTTCTCTCTAATATTCCTCTGCTTGGGTGCAGATGTCTGCTACATGTATTTCAGCCTAAAGGAGAATTTAATAAGTGCACTCTGAAAATGTAGAAACAAGAACCTTTTGCATGTTTGATTCCCTGGAAAATTAATATAAGCTGTGTCTAATTTTTTTCTGTTATAATATGTTCTGGTTTGTTTCTAACTCAGTTGCTGAAACAAAACTGGTGATTTTTGTTGTTCATCAGAATTCAAAACACTAAGTTGCAGGTTATTCCGTTGTGCACAAAATAGCCTGCGAGACAGGCATTCGAAAGGGAAGGAGATGGGCTTTGGGCGCAAGACCTCGCGCGAGGGAGAAGGGAGGAGGGGAACGCCTGCAAGGAAGCCATTTTCTTTGCCATTCCGCCTACTAATTATGTATTCAAAAATAGTGCAACTGCGAATGTCTAGCTGTAAATACGTCTGGCAGCGATGCAAATATTCTAGTCGTATTTCTCGCGCTGTTTTTCTTTTGTTTTCCTAAAATAAAAAAGGCTTAGTGAAGGTACTATTTAAAAAATTTCAATTGCCGTCGTCCATTGAAGGAAGAAGTTGCAACGAAGCGTGCCGAGTTATATAAAATCCAGCATAAATCTATTCAAGCCGTTGCTGAAGGAATCGGGCTAGAAAACTATTAAGAAATGTAATGGCTCTTCGCAACTTGAATGCAATGTTTGTCTGTGAAAAATTAAAACACTTTGCTAACTCTTTGAATTTCTACTGGGATGAATTGGATCCAGCGGAGCATACAAAAGAACGCTTGTAGTGGGGAAAGAAGAGCTGAACTTCAAAGATCTGCAAAAAGGCTGCAATTAAATATTAAAGGAGGTTCCTGGTGGTTTTTTAAAAATTGATGCCTTCAGTTTCTAATTGTAATGATAAATTCCCGTACTGAAATATGTTCACGCTTCACTCGCCATAACAACATATTGAAAGATCGATTAAGTTACTCAAATAGCGTGATGTTGATTTCAACCAATCAGATTAAGGCATTAAGGTTGTGATTGAAATTCGTTTTGAAGCCTAGCCAATCAGGATTTTAACATTCAGCTGGTGAATGTTATAACGTAAAAGACAATTTATAGTGTCTTTGAAGGCTTTCCCTTTCCTCCTTCCTCGCGCGCCCCTCGCGCTCCTCTCACGCCCAAAAGTCCCTTCCCTTCCCTTCTGAACACCTGCCACGTAGGCTGTGCACAGAATGATCTTTTAATTTGAGTTCTAAAGTGTCAGCCTAGGATTGTTACTATACATACCAGCGCAGTCAATCAATAGAAATCGGTGATTTACTTACTGATGACAGAAATTGGTTAAAACTGATAAAGAACTTTGGTGTGTCAAATCGATATTGATTTTTCATGATTTTGTCGATTTATAATGCAAATCCAGCTGACATTGCTATTTGTTGGTGTGAAGTAAATAACACAGCTGGGAATACAAGCAAGAAATCAACACCGCAGTGCTAGTTTACGGTTGAAAAGAACTGAAACAAATTCCCACATCCATGAAAAAATAATAATAATAATAAAAATGATCTATTAGCTAAAAGCGAGAAATGTGGAAACTCTGAGACACACAAGTATCGCTTAAGAACCCTGTGTTTACACATTGACTGGAAGAATAAACAGGACATTGTGAACAAATCGTGAATTCGTGAAGTCCCGAGGGCGCTCAAGGGAAACTTGTGTGGAGGTGTTCCATCGAGGACTTCAAACCCTGACCCTGTTTTTTAGACAAAAACCATTCCGATTCAAGACGAGACCTTATTTCTTGCCCTGATTCATTTGGCTTCGCAAACAGGATTATTTTTAAAAAAGTAATTTTTAAACAACCATGAAGTTAGATTTTTGTACAAAAAATTGTTGGCGCTACAAATTAATTTAGAGCCCGACTCATCGCAAGCCTTCACACTCTTTTTAGCTCCCAGTTAAAAAAAAAAACAGATACCCTGTTCACAATATGTAAATAGTTAAATCTTATTCCCCTTTTGAAGACTTGAGACCCTGAGGGTTTGAACCTTCCCTCACCCCTCTGAAGATTACAGTTTAATATCATACTAAGGCCCCGTTTATATGAGGAGAAAAGTTGTCCTACGTAAAATCGTCATCCGCCTACCCGAGCCTCTCTGGGTGAGCCAACACATTATATACTTTTCATACATTCCTTACAAAACGTGGCGAACCGTTTACTTGAGAAAAAAATGGCTGGGCTAGAATGGTATAAAAATTGCTTTGAAAACACTGCATATTGCAGCTGAAAATAAGTTCCTGCGTTTATCAATAACAAGCGAACTCTGAAATTCAGCAATGAACCTTGAAACACAGAAACTAACAAAACGGATTTAAAGTCTACCAGTCAGAAATCACACCGCGGAAGTAGGCTTGTTTCCTAAGAGGTACACAAGGATGATTGACAGTAGCGAAGAAGGCAAACCCCTCAACCGTTAGTTGGCTTTTGAACTTCAGATTTCGCGTGCTGTTGAATAAATATTGAATTCATTTGAATAAAACGTTAGGTTTGTTGAGTGTCATTATTATCTTACTGCTCCACAGTTACAAGACCTTGCGGATAGTCCAGGGATTCGAAATCCAAATTTAAACACAGCTAGATGTGTTATTCAAGGCCACAAACTTAATCTGTCGGCCACTGAACGTGCTCCTTTTATCAGGACAATCCTATGGTGTTCTCTTGGTTTTGTTGTCCTAAGTAGCATGCTGTTAGTTCGTTTTATCCTGGAAGTGCAAAGAAAAGCTTGGCCAGGCACAAACGTTCATGAAAGACATAGCCGAAAAGAGAAATCGATGGCAAAGGCTGTATGTATTTCAGCTTTTTTCCTTTTCCTACTAGGTAGCGTAACATTAGGTTATGTTCTTGTGAAATCAATTATTTGTGTTGCAAATAGTGAAGCATCCTTTGACATCCCAGTTATTCTTGGATCAGTATTTCTTTACAGTTTCTTATTTTTCGGTATCTGGAAAAAGATCTTTCCTAAAAGTTATGTAAGATATTATTCGTGTATTTTCTTTATTTGTGTAAATGCGACTAGTTATCATTTTTGCTGGATCATGATCGGCATGATGATTCACCCAGTGTGGGCTTTGACTGTTGCTCTTGTGATCTGCTGTTTCTTTGCATCTCTGACATATGCCATTTACCTTTATTTGTACAAGGCTAACCCTAGTGACGGAAGTTGCATTGACATACAGTGCCTCGTGTCTTGTACATCTGGTTTTCTGGCTGTCTTGCCCCTCATTGTTATAGTTGTTTTTGCAGGCCAGTCATATGATGGCAAAGAAACAGCAGATGATGTATTGAAAACCATTATGTTGTATTTTATTGGTGCCTTTATCTCCTTTATCACCCTGAAGACGCACATTCTAACGGTGGAAAAAATTCGACCTGACACTCCCTCACCTGCAGGGAATTCATCTGCACAGAGTCAAACACTTCTCACAAACACAGGTCAAGATCAAACTTCAGTATAAAGCAATGACATTGGTTGCCTATGATAACAACAGCCATTACCTGTTCTCTAGCAGTTTTAGATGACGAAAGTGATAAATAGTAAAACTCTGCAAACAATATAATGTTTTACGAATATGTCTTGCAAGGCACTATTTTTATTTAGAATATACTAAAACAGTGGATAGTGTTCTTCGCGCGCTCTGATTGGCTACTCAAATACTTGAATATCCTGCACTATTCACTGATTCACCTCCAGTTCCTCCTCCTCCTCCTCGCGTAAGTTGAGAGCAAAATGCCTTTCCGTTTTGCTGCCGTAACAAACAAAGAAATTTCACAACTAATCAAGCAAGCTGTTCCTGAATACACGAAGAAGGTGACGAAGTTCGGTTTGGAAGTTTTAAGAGGTAAAGCTTTGTCTTTTTGACCTGAATTTATCGATAAAACCGGTAAAAAAGTTTTTTGTTTACAAATGCAAATCAAGCTTAAGGTTTGCGTTACTTTATTTAATGATTTTAAATACAAAAAGAATTAACAACTCCTTTTAAAGAAACTTCCCCGCAAGAATTAATCAAATGCCTTCAAAGGTTTTATTTGTCGGCAAGAAAAAGCGACAACCGCGGCCGTTCGGTCATTGCGCGCCAAAACTGTAATCGTTGGCAAAAGTAAATAAGTCAAAAATTGTCATTTTTGTGCTCAATTATCTCACTGTTTTAGTATATACTAAAACAATTATTCAGCTCAGTGTCGGTGACAACAGGGTTCTTTTTTGCATGAGCATGCGCGACCGCTGAACAAGCGATGTGCATGGAGGCACACCACAGGGTTTGCCTTCATCAAAATGCCGCGTCTCAAAGCTATCATAGCGATTATTTTGCTCGTTGGTCTTGGCGAATGTGCTCGTGATTTAACAAAATGTGTAGTTTGCAAAAAAACTTCTAACATGGTCTTAACAAAAGCGAAGTAGACCGGCTTTAACATACACGAGCTACTATCAAATTTCATCTCCCCACTTGACCTGGACAACAGTGCGCGTATATGTAGTGCCTGGAGGATTGCGCTGACCTCATCAAAGTCTAAACAAAGTGCAGAAACGTTTGTTGATGCAAGTAAACACTTTCAATTTTCTTTGTTTTGAAATGGGAAAGGAAGAGAAATATTTTAAAAAAAAAGCAAATTTCAGCGAGTGGGTTCGAAGTGCGCGAAAGCCGATGTTCAGTTCAGCAGTGAATTAATATACGTTCTACAATTTTCCCAGTACTTTAAAGCTACACAATTAAGAGCACACGAGACGTAGATTAGTCACCTGGTGAGATGTTGGTGGTAGTCACTCTGTATGTCTCGAACAATAAAAAAAATGAATATCAATGAGACACAGTCAAACCTGCTTTTAATAGGACCGAAATTAAAGTCCAATCTTGTGACCGATTTTGAAGAAACAAACGGTTAGGTTTCCCAAGAAGTACAGTAAACATGTGATGCCGACCAAAAGTTAAAAATCATTAGAACATTTAAGTTCTGGCCAAAAGCAAATTCCTGTAAAAGATGCGCTACAATGTTAGTCCACGCAAAAACAACAGTTCTAAAATTTTCCTATAAACAAACTTTGTATTGCTAAAATACTTAAGGCAAAAACTTTCTATTCCAACTGAAAACGGCGTGGTAGTCGTCCTCTGATCGTTATTAATCCATTCCCGAAATATGGCTAAATCAGCTATTAACAAATTATTGACAGAAATCCTCTACGGCATCGAGAAACTGATTTACATCCGATTTATAGACAAACAATAAATAAAGAACATTTTGCTCAATAGCTACGCATCAGCAATGCATTCTATGCCAAACTTTGCGGTTCTTAAAGAGGAAACAAGACACGAGTCGACCGCCAAACAACAACAAGCAGCCATGTTCGTGTCAGACATCCTTGAAAAACTTGCTCTTTCACCTCGTTCAGCGCATCAGTCTCCACTTTAAATCAATAGATCTTTATTTATTTTGTACAACGAAGGTCTTTCCTAAGTTCCTGCTACCATTTCAATCTCAAGCAAGCTTGCAAAGTGAACAATTTGGTTCCTATGACTATGCAGCACGCTCGCTGTCACTGGTCGGCTGCTCTTTGACAAGTCAGCGGTCGCGCATGCTCATGCAAAAAAGACCCCTGTTGTCGGTGGCTAGTGATGAATATTTACCTCGCCGCTTCGCGGCCTCGGTAAATAACCACCAATAGCCACCTCCACTTTGGTGAATAATTGTGATAAGATTTCATCATTGGGTTGAAAACAAATAGCATATTTGAAGTTTTGGTTGTGTCGGGAATATAAAAATAACCAGTTTACGTACGACATTTAAAATTTAAGGGGGTAATGAACGTGAGCGAAAAAGTCGGGAGACTAGGCCGAGGGCGGTAGAGAATTGACGTTTCATCACACGACAGAGAAAATTTGCAGGAAAGTGATGTTCTTCCTGATAATTGTTCTCATGACTAAAAGAGGGACATGACGTCATCAGTTACGTGATCAGAGCGTTTTGAATATTTAAGTTCGTTTTTAAAGTACATTTTTCGCCATAAATTGGCAAGTTTTTGTTGTTTTACCTCTACAAATCTTTACACTGTATTACCCCTGAGTAATTATTATTCCATTTTCAAAGCAGAAGCAACCGAAAACTGGGCCAGAAATTTAAAAGTTGCGTAAATTGACCGATATTAAAAATTAAAATCGAAAAGGAGACCTTCTCTTGCGACTTTTGTAAAATTCTTTTTCAAATTAACTGTTTGTTTGGCGAAATAAATGTTCAACGTTTGTTAATAAAGGAGGACTATTGTTTTTCTTCATTCCGGGGAGAGAGGTCATGTAGCAGCTCTTCTAACCCTAAAAGCCAAATGGTTTGCTACTCTAATCTAAAGCAATGGAAATAATGATGAACAATATTGTGTTAATGTTTTCCCCGACCGATGAAAAGACACCTTACAAGCAGGGAGAGAATCGTACGGTCATACGGTTTAGTCGGTAGCCGCGCGATCGATAGTTCATAAATTTCATAAACGTTCCCCGGCATGGACCAAGCCTTAAAGAGTATTAATGGGTTTATTGTGAGCTTTACGTTTAGCTTCGGTCAGTGAAAGATTTAATTCTACTTGGGAAATAAAAAAAAAAAAACGAAAAAGTCACCGTTTACCGAGGTCGTCCAGTGGACAGAGAAGTAAACTTTTAGTTCTGACTGATTCTGAGGGTCCGGGTTTGAATCCCCTTGAAGCAAATTTTCGTAACCTTATTTTTATCCCTTTTTTTTTAATTTCTTTTTTACTCTATTTTTACCTGTGTGGTGCATATAGCTAGTAACATCATGTGGTAAATTGAAAACAAAGTTCACAGGTATATAAACAATGTGGTATGTATCATAGCGTATCTACCGGTATTTTTAGAAATACTGGACACTGTTATCATTACCCAGCTCAATCGTCGTATTTCACATGTGTCGAATATAATGCATTAATTATAGAAACCCTTATCCATATTGGATAAAAAAATTTCCTAGAGACTGAGAATATTTACAACAAACGGAGTTAAATTCGGCAACATCATATCCGACGTCTGAATCAACTGCCGTTTTTAATTACTTTCATCAACTAAAATAGGTGTTCGGCACTCATAAGAAATTCCACGTTTGAAAGAGCCTTAACATAATATAAGTTTCAGCTTAATGGTTTACAGGCTGTTATTAAGTTGTTTGTTTTCTTTTCAGTGAGAGCACTTCGTATCTCTCTTTGTAAATCCATTTTATTAAGCGGCTTGTGCCGCGACTTTAAGAATCAGCTGTGATAGTTGACTTTACTTTTTCTTTGACAAGATTTGTATGTCACTGCAGGGCCCGCGCAGGGGGAGGGACTAGGGGGACCAGCCCCCTCCCCCCAACCCTTTTTGAAAAAAAAAAACAAAGAAATACACATTTTCAAATAAAAGGAATCTTTGATGGAATAAGGATATTCGACTGGCAGACCTCGCCGAACCATCCAATTTATGATTGGTCCGTTTCGATTCGGTATTATATAGTGAGCCTCAAAACAACTATCTTTACAAAACTCATGAAAACTGTACTTAGTCGTAGACTTCCGCGTTTTCATCAGCCAGTTGATGTAGTACAAACAATGGCGTCTTTTTTTATCAAGGTTCTTAAATCTCCACAGAGCTACTATTTCTTAAAACAAATTGAGCTCGATGGCATCGTGACAACATGAAGACGTTTCAGGAATACCTCTGCAGAGTATAATAAATGAAATTGTCCCGATATGCAAGCTTCTGCTGGTAAATCCGCAACCATGAACAGCAGAAAAGGGTCAGTTTCGGCAGATCGAAGGTTAAAAACATCTGAAACATCGCTCCATTCCGTGACAATGAATAAAGTAAAGGTTCTAAACAGCCGTAAGGGGAGAACGGACAAACTTTTGAAGCAAATGAAACACGCGAAAATTATGATGCTACTGAGCATGGTTACACCTTTTTGTCACTAACTCCTTTCTCGTTTGCTAAACTATTTTAAAAAATGATTGATGAGTTGCAATTGTATCAAAAAATATTGAGTCGGCACCAGGTAAACCATTTTTAAAGTCCCCAAACCCCACAAACCCGCCCCCCAACTTCAATTCAAAAGAGGTGGATCGGCCCCCGCACTTTCAAAACTGCTCCGCGGGCCCTGAAAATGTCTCAACAGTTTTGTCGCCGATCGTAGCTTCTTCCAATTTTATTCCCTAACGCTATTTTTTCTACTTAAGTTACGCATCTTTACTACATAAAATACGTTTCAATAACTATAATGACTCTTAAGCAGCAAGTATATATGTTGTCAGTCATGTTGTTCACTTAATTCATGTTTTAGTCCATATCTATATCAACAGTATTGTTTCACTGTAAGAACTTTGAAAAATATATATTTATACTCTACCTTGAAGCAGGTGAAACAGAACTCATAAGTTGTACAGTTC